AATTGGTTGAAACCAGGAGTGAAATTAAAGAAATTAAAAGTTTAATGGTCAATTAGAGGTTAGATTGCATAAATCCAAAACCAAAACCAAAGTGTAAAGAGAGTTGAAATTCAAGGTTCAAATTTAAGTTCAGCAAATGCTAAATTACACTAAATCAGAGGTTTAGGCTAATCAAGGGTGCAATTGAATGAATGCAAAAGTTGAAGGACTCAATTAAAGTTTCACAAAAATTCCTTATTTAACAAAAAATGAAACCGTTTTTGCATTTAAAAAAACAAGAGAGAGAGAGATAGAAGACTAGACGATGTGTCATCTTGTCATTGTTCATTGTCTTCCCTAATTTTTTTCGAGAATGTTGCCTGAGTGGTTACTTTTCAGGGGTATTAAATGCCTCATATGTCCACAAAAATAGACAACAGATATAATAACCGTTATTGTCTAACTTTAAACTGTTATTGTATGAGATCCCATATCGAAAGTAAGTGACTAGAACTAGGGCCTTATAAATGATGCTGATTGCTTTTATGTTGGACGCGTTTTGGGGTCATATGTAGCTACCAGGAATAAAATCATGAGGAGGACCTGGGTCGAAGCCCAAAAATGGGTGGACTGGCAGGTCCAAAGCAAACAATATCCAGCATGTTGAGCCAAGCCGTTACATTTGATATCAGGCCGAGGATGGCTCGTCTTAAGATGGGGAAATTGTGAGATCTCATATCAAAAGTGAGTATCTAGAGTCAAGGTTTTATAAGCGGTGTTGGTTGCCAATATGTTGCTAATTTTAAGATATAAAAATGATCTGAAAAAATAAAAAAATAATTCAAAATAATTCATTGAAAAATAGGCTGCATTTCAACCCCAATGGGCTGGCTATAGTTTTCTTCAACTATGTGTTGCTGTCAGGAACAAAACCGTGAGGAGAGCCTTGGTCGAAGCCTGAAAATGAGTAGATTAAGAGGTCCAAAATGAATAATATCCAGCATGTTGGGTCAGACCGTTACAACATAAGAACCAAAATAGTCATCTGACATCTTTTTATCTTTAAGTATGGTCTATTCAGGCATATTCTCATTAAAATGACCTTGGCACTAGCCTAAAATAGCTAACTTAAATAGTGTTGAATTGTTAAATTTTACAATTTATGATACTTATTTTGATCTAATAGTTGAGATATTTACTAATAGAACCATAGAGTGGTCTCTTATTGGAAAAAAATAGAGCGATGTTAGCAAAGTGGATTAGCATATAGAGAAGCAAGAGAAAAAAAATAGAACCTCTACTGTTTAAAGAAATAGACTTCGTGTCCTGTTTTATTTAACTTCAGCATATTATTTTCTGTTTAAATAATGACATCAATTTTTTATAAAATAATTAGGAATTGAAAATTAAAAATTAAAAATAAAAACAATGAGGATAATTAAAAATAATCAAAAAGATAAATTAAGAAAAAAGTACATAATAAATATAACTTTTTATATAAAAAATATTGTAAGTATTATGTCGTTATTTTTATATGCATAAATAATTTTTAAGCTAAATATATGCAATCAGTAAAAATTTTAATATCTCTATTTCTTTTAATTACTAAATAAAAACTTTTAATTTTCTATAACATATTTTTTTCCCCTCAATTTCACTAGTGTCTTGCCAATTTCTGGAATATGACAACGATGGCCCTGCGTGATGCATTGAGTGGAGTGGAATATTTGGTAACCCTCCATTACCCCCTTGAGCATGATAGCGTGCTAGTATCTGTTCGAGTTCGAGTTTTGGATTTTCATTGGTTGTCAGGTCTAGATTAATTTTGATTTTTAAAAAAAGTTAAATAATATTATTTTATTAAAAAAATAAAAATCAATATGTTACAGCTAGATTTTTAACCAGGTTTGTTGGGTCAACTGGGTTATCCCGGGTTTTGACTTTCTCAATTTTTTCTTAAACTTGGTTTTGTTGCAGTCCCGAGTCAACCTGCTGAGCTAGATTTCAAAATTATGGTGTATTCAACCATGTCAAGAACAAAAGCATTCATAGTTTTATGGAACAATTCAATTCACTTATCAGGATCCTTTAATTAATGAAAATTAAGTTTGGAAGCCCAATTTAGGTTTAATTAAGAAGATTATAATTTTAAGATATCAAATTTAATTTTTATCAAGTTAATTCATTAAAATCAGAGGTAAAATCACAAGAAAATTGAAGTTTTGGGTTTAATTAGGAGTCAAATTAAAGATTTTTGTAGCTAAGGACTAGTTTGTAAAAAGCACTGAATTTTAAGGGTTTAATTGGTTGAAACCATGGATGAAATTAAAAAAATTAAAAGTTTAATGGTCAATTAGGGGTTAGATTGCATAAATCCGAAACCAAAACCAAAATGCAAAGAGAGTTGAAATTCAGGGTTTAAATTGAAGTTCAACAAATGCTAAATTGCACTAAATCAGAGGTTTAGGCTAATCAAGGGTGCAATTGAATAAATGCAAAAGTTCAAGGACTCAATTAAAGTTTCACAAAAATTCCTTATTTAACAAAAAAAAGAAACCATTTTTGCATTTAAAAAAACAAGAGAGAGAGAGATAGAAGACTAGACGATGTGTCATCTTGTCATTGTTCATTGTCTTCCCTAATTTTTTTCGAGAATGTTACCTGAGTGGTTACTTTTCAGGGGTATTAAATGCCTCATATGTCCACAAAAATAGACAACAGATATAATACCCGTTACTGTCTAACTTTGAACTGTTACTGTGTGAGATCCCATATCGGAAGTGAGTAACCAGAACTAGGGCCTTATAAGAGATGTTGATTACTATTATGTTGAACGCGTTTTGGGGTCATACATGGCTACCAGGAATAAAATCATGAGGAGGACCTGGGTCGAAGCCTAGAAATGGATGGATTAGCAGGTTCAAAGCAAACAATATCCAGCATGTTGAGCCAAGCCGTTACATTTGGTATCAGAGCCGAGAATAGCTCGTCTTAAGATGGGAAGATTGTGAGATCTCATATCAGAAGCGAGTGTCTAAAGTCAAGGTCTTATAAGCGGTGTTGGTTGCCAATATGTTGGACGTGTTTTGGGGCCATGCGTCGCTGTCAAGAACAAAACCGTGAGGAGGGCCTGGGTCGAAACCTGAAAATGGGTGGACTGAAAGGCCCAAAACAGATAATATCCAGCATGTTGAGTCAGGCCGTTACAACATAAGAACCAAAATAGTCACCTGACATCTCTTTGACATCTCTTTATCTTTGAGTATGGTCCATTAAGGTATATTCTCATTAAAATGACCTTGACACTAGCCTAAAATAGCTAACTTAAGTAGTGTTGAATTGTTAAATTTTATAATTTATGATATTTATTTTGAACTAATAGTTGAGATATGTACTAACAGAACCATAGAGGGGTCTCTTATCGGAAAAAATAGAGCGATGTTAGCAAAGTGGATTCGGTGCTTGAACTCCTCTTATCAATCTAAGTAAGCATTTTTATTCATAGGAAATATGACCTCCAAATTAATAAGGGCTTGCCTTCTTTCAGCTCCATTCCAATCCTTCCCGTATCTGGAGAGATATTTTATCTATTTATTCGGATGAGCCAAGTGCGACCACTGTTGTAAAAAATGGCTTCACTTTTGTCATGGCACACAGTTGCAACTTGAGCTTTTGGCGTGATGCTTGGCAAGAGTGGTCTCATGATTACCATTACCTAAGTTTCTTTTCTTCTGTTAAAACTCAAAAAAAAAAAAAAGTTGGTGGTGGTGGGTAGATGAAAATTGACATAGATGCTTGCATCTTCTTCCTTGAGCGATCATTGCTTCAATTAAATACTAATTGTTTTCTATAATTGTTTTCTATAATTGTTAAAATGAATACTTTACTCACCTGTCTGTCATGAATTACTTCAATTTAGAAACGATTTTGCTTTCTGTAATGTTCTTTACTCGGGATTTCGAAAACTTCCAAAAATCAATTGAAATGATTTTGTTTC